CCACCCGTATGACTGTCATTTAGAAAACCCTAATCAATCAACCATCCCCTACGACCTGCTGGCATGGCAAGGTGGCACAGCACGGCTCTGCCTCCTTCATTTGCGCTTCAATGTCCCTCACCTCCTTGGTTTCTAAGGCCAGCGGCCCCGTCTTCAGCTTTGCCAGCAGCTCTTGCAAGCGACTGGCAGCGCTGGCAGCGCGCTCTTTGCTGGCCTTCCGTGCGCAACGCTCATGTATTGGTACGCAAGGCGATCACAACCCCAGCACCCATAATTGTTTCCCGATTCTTGTCCAGAATGCCGGCGATGTCTTCCAGGGTGCCCAGCATATCTGGCACCCTGGGAGATCAAAAACAGATATATTATAAATATATCTGCCTCACCCTCAGAGCTCAACCCACGATGTCGGTCGGTCGGTGTCGGTGTCGGTGTCTGTGTCTGTGTCTGTGTCTGCTCTGTCTGTCTGTCTCTGTCTCTGTCTCTGTCTCTGCCTCTGTCTCTGTCTGTCTGTTTCTCTCTCTCTCTCTCTCTCTCTGCCTGGCCCATCTTGAGCTGGACAGAAGTGAACACTCTGAGACGTGATGCATGCGGTGACAAAATTTCTTGTGAGAGTCACTCTTTCATAGCCCAGATGCTTGCGTGCCGTTTGTTTTGCATTTGGGAAGCACCAAAAATGAACCACGCCTGACTTAGCAGCTTCTGCCGCTGTGCCTGCAGCAGTTGTGGCGCCAAGTCGTATGGAAACTAGGGGCATGTGGCACATGGGACATGATGGGACCATTGTCGTGGGGACTCTGGGCCATCTGATGGCACCTCCAAAAACTGCTCAGCTTTTGGCCGTTCTCGTCGAGTCAGTGGTTCCTGGCATGAGCGTGGCTCCAACGCTTTTGAAGACATTGACTGCTAGAATCAGGGGGCATTAAGGAAGGTTGGTGCCAAAGCAGCTTGTAAACGAAGACAACTAAGATTGCTTGGAGCTTCAGGCCTTTCCACTGTACGACACTTTGCTGGACTGTGCTGTCCCTTACTTCTCAATGTTTAGATTCACAATCAGAAGCATGTCATACAGCAAGCGGACCTCCAGCAGTGCACCCATCTGCCGGCGCAGCTGTGTTTGTGCACTCAAGAGCTCATCCTTCTTGTCCACGAGCGCCAGCTCCTGTATACAATATAATATAAATATATATATATATACATATATGGGAACGGATTGAAGCTCGGTTTTGAGCATCATTTCCGATAAAATGTCGGATCCCAACGCGGCACTAAATGCAAAAATGGCCAGCGTTCTGCACCTGTGTTTTTGGAGCTTTGGAGAGCGATATCTGATCGATTTGATCCAGCAAAGCGTCGGCTTCTGACAGCCAGTGCGACAGGCCATAAAAGGAGTAGCTCTCCTTGGGCTCAATGGTTGGAGTTTATTGGAGGTCAGAAACGCCAGCGCTTGCAATTCAACGATTTTGTGTACTGTTCAGACTGTTCATCCTTTTTGAACCCCTCCGAGCCGAGACTGAAACAGTGCCTGGTCTCTAAGTCCTCGATTGACTTCAGCAGCTCTTCTGCCATGGCATCGGCGCATGTGGTAGGTCGAAATTTTGGAAATCCAAGACACGGCCATGTGAAAAGGGTGATGATAAAGGTTTTGAGATTTTGGGAGGTTGCCCAGCCTCCATGTACAGTTTAGCCTCTATAGAATCTTCAGGGGTCCATCTCTGCTAGAAATTTGAATTTTGTATAGTAGGCCTCTGTGCAAATGTTTCAACACATGTTGTGTGTTGGCTTGGGCCGAACCAGCTGAAAGGCTCCGGACAAATCTTCCCAAGCCGCCGCCAATGGCCTGCGAATGCCAAACATGGCACCATGGCCACAAAACAAGGTCGGCAGAACAAAACTGCCGAGTTGGGCTGGAATACCGGCAAAGTGCAAACATGAGCTGGAGGGCAAACACCAGGGGAGGGAATCTCCAGGTGTCAGATTGTCATCATGGATCACCCCCTCCATGTCCAAGAAATGGTGTCACAACAGGGACTTAAATGATGCACCTAACCTGAGGATTGCAAATAGTTTGGTACAGTAAAAGATCACCAAACACTAGTGGCTCAGGGCTGCAGAGGGTGACAAACCGCAGCTTACCAAACTGCCACATGTTTGATACTTGTGCATTTTTAGTGAATGGTGTTGAAGCTCAACATAGGTCGGGAAAGGGAGTCCAAAAATTTGGTCGAACAGATTGGCATGTTTTAGTCACATTTGCCCGCTCCCCCCACTATAGTAACTCACTTCACATGCAGAAACTATATATATATATATAAATCTATATAACTTCAGCCTATCAACTGGCTTTCGTAACAATGGATTTGGCTCAGCACCAGCCAAATGTGACTAAGTTAACCACGACCCGAGAAAGGAAGAACGAAAGCCAGTAGAAACCAATATGCAGGTCCGAGTTGCAAGGCAAGAGGCATGCAGCAGTTGACAAACTAGAAATACCAAGAGGCTGTGCATGGACACGTTGCGATCAAAGTCTGCAAGGACATTGCCCGAAGCGACACCTGAGCATGCTTCCAGCACACAAGCAGCACAAAGAACTTGAGAGAGGAGGGGGTGAATGAAAGGTAGCAGGCAATCACAAGTAACCCTGGTAGAAGTCCATGACGGCGTGACCCGGCGCAGGGGGGATTTGATCCAGGGAGGGGGGGGAGAGATGGACTGTTAGGAACTATGCGACAAAGCCCATTTCAAACAACAACAACAACAACAACTACTACTACTACTACTAGAACAAGATGAACAACAACACGGCCAGAACAACAACAACGACAACAACAACAACAACAAGATGAACAACAACGCGACGAGAACAAGAACACGACCAGAGCAACAACAACAACAACAAGAAGATGAACAACAACAGCGACAACAAGAAGAAGATGAACAACAACAACAAGATGCACAACAAGAACAACAACAAGATGAACAACAACAGCACCGAAAACAGCAACAACAACGACGACGACGGCGACGACGGCGACGACGACTACTACTATACTGCCACTACCACTACCACTACCACTACCACTACCACTACTACTACTACTACTACTCCTACTACTACTACTACCACTACTAGCACCACCACCACCACCACCACCACCATGACGACGACGATGACTACTAAACTACTACCACCACCACCACCACGACTACGAAGACGACGATGACTACTAAACTACTACCACCACCACCAC